ACTCCTCTGCTGTGCAAGAAGTCGTCCATTGTTTTGTTTTTTCTGTAATCTTTTTTTTCTTTTTAGGTATGCCTTGCCAGTAAAATGCTGGAATATTGAAAGGATAGCATCAAATCAGTTTCCTGTTCTCAGCTGACAGGAGTGACACCTGGTGTGGTCTTGTGCCGCACAAGCCCATCTGCTTCAAGGTTTGCGGTGCAGGATGCTTTGATGTAATCAGTAGTTTTTGAGTTACCTTTCTATCAGCTTGAAGAAGTCTGGGCATTCTCATCAGTCTCATTTATTTTAAAAAAGCCTCTATTTTTTGGAAAGCATCCATTACAGCTGCAGGTTATATGGTGCAGGGCATTCTGTGTGATTGTGCAGAGAGGAGATCAGCAGGAGTCTGATCTCCTCACCTCCTCAGGATAGGAGACCAGCCTCCATTTTTATGCATCTTTTTACAGTAGTGACCTAATGATGGCTTAGGTCACTACTGTATATAGTAATAAGTGTTGTGTGTGTTTTCTAATGTACTAACGTGAAACCTGCGTGTCGAGCTTCTGTGGTGACCTGCTGGGGTGTGTGACATAATCAGAGATCAATTAAATCCATCTGTGCCAAACTGACATAACATGTCTGGTAAATTCTGAATAACTGATAGAGGTCAGGCTTAAATGTTTAATTTTATTTTTGCTTACAATATTGTTCAAATATTTTAGAATTCAGCAGAGAAATTAGGTCCAATCTCACATCACTGCTGAAAATATGATCAGCCTTTGATGGAAGGAAGCCAAAACACACTCAGAGAACAGTGAGTTACTATCGCACATACAGCACACACCACCTAACACACACCTCAATGTCTGTTTGCAATGAGGTGTAAAGGGAGGAAAGAGTGTGTAATGAGGAAGAAGCTAAAACTTTAGCTTCCTAAACTGGTCAAACTGGAGAGCTGGCACAACCTGTAGAAAGCTGTAAAGAAAAAAAATGTTTTAAAATCCCTGTTTTCATAAAACCTTTCAACAACACTTTATGTGTTTTTTTTTGTTCAGCTGTGTGTAGCAAACATCAGCCAACAACATGAAAGACACGGTGTTTGAAGCCCAGATGTTCCTCCAGTTTCGTGAGGCCGTGCTGTCTAAATTTCACGTTTGAAAGAGTTCCATTTGACGTGTAATTATTAACAGTTAAATGACAGTGTTGCAATATTTCTGTGATCCATTGAACATGTTTAAAAATTATATCCATTTATTCGCTTCCGCTTATCCTTTTCAGGGTCGCGGGGGGGCGCTGGAACCTATCCCAGCTGTCATAGGGCGAGAGGCGGGGTGCACCCTGGACAGGTCGCCAGTCTGTCGCAGGGCCAACACACAGGGACAGACAACCATTCACACTCACATTCAC